TCTGGCATCCCAAGCCAGCTCTTAACCATCGCGCCACTCGGCCGGCCCAAATCCAACTTCTTTATTGTACACTTAACAGAGAAAAAAATGAGGATCAGAAAATCAAACACCTTGCTCTGGTGGTTAATGCAAAGCTGGAATCAGGATGCAGAAAACCTCTCTATCCTACTCTCCATTATGAGGACCTCATCTATTACTGAATACTGAATTACAGAATACTGTCCATTTCCTATGTAGCTCACTTCCTACATTAGCCCTATGATGATAATTGAATGCATTTCACTACTTAATATATCACAAAAACATTGTAAATTTTATAGTTGCATGTGGAATTAAGTGATAATTAATAGTTGTCACTTGCTGTAGTTAATACTAGTCTTAATTCCATATTGCATATTAACTCTAGAAAAACAACTAATCTGTGTTATTTTAAAGATTTTTAAGTTGGCAGATATGTTAAGAATTGCAGAGAAGATAATGGACTAGTAACTATACACACATTTATAAAGAAATTTTTGAATAAATATTTTCAGTAAATAGAAGGAATTTTGAAGTTGTAATTGGCCATGCTGAATGAAAATATTTTCCTTGGTAGTTTCCCATTATGTTTGTTTCTATCAAAACATTAAACATATTTCCCAAAGGAAGTTTTTATAATTTGAAATAAAATATGAAAACAAAAGCTGTTCAACAGTTTCTTATAATGTGCCCAATTAATGATACATCTACATTTTAAAACCTGGAATTATTAGAAAAGAATACTTAAATTTCATGAATATTTTTATATTCATGGGTAAGAATTTTACAAATAATAATAAATATTTTCAAAATAATATGGTTTACTTTTCCAGTCCTCATTTTAACAGAGTTTCTAAAAATTCTATTTCTAAATATCCACGAGCCAAAGATTTGGCCAGCTTGGAATATATCTCTATCTTCAACAATAAGACATTTTATCAAGTCTTTTTGTGCTATTGGTGTACCCCATTGCATGTTTTATAAACAGAAGTTTAATATTAATACTTCTATTACAGAACATTAAAATCTAATTGTTTTTAAGAATTTGAAGATAAAGTGGGTCAAAGAGGAGTAAATAATACCAAAATTCAGTGAAGAATAAAAATAAATGATTAATGCTTTAGATAAATCAAAGAATTTCTACTGTGTAGTATTTTCCTTCCTACAGGAATATTCAATAAATGTAGTAATGACAAGTACACTTTGCAAGGTGCATCCAGGATCATTCTATTGGCTAGCTCAATGCCACTACCTAGATTTTGATATGGATTTTAAAAGTTTACTTTTCATCACAAATTAATATTTTTGAACTCTCACTGAGAATAGAATGCACTTTATTTTTACATGTTGACTCTTATCATCTATGGGAATTTATTTTCTTAATAAAATATGTAACT